ACCCAGGAGGCAGCGGTGTAGACGGGGCCCGCAGCTGGAGCCCCGCGCATCGTGCGCTCCCGGCGGCGGCTCCGGAGCTCGCCTAGGCGGAGGCGGCGCCGTGCGTCCCGGTCTCCCTGCGAGACGTGGCGAGGTCCGGGTTCTCCAGTCCGACGGGGAGCTAGATCGACCTCTACCGCGGCGCCTTCACCTCCGTCGGTGCTCTTGGCTGCTTTCCTCCTCCGATCTTCGTTCCAGCTCCTCCTCCTCCTCCTTTTCTTCCCGCCACCCGAGCATCCTGGCCCGGCCTCCCTCGGCGGCTGGGCCCCGAGTGATGCGATTTCTTCGGGGACAGCGCACCTCTTAGCCTCCCGGTCCGCCGCCGGTGGTGCGCGGGCGCGGTCCCGTCCTGGGCCTCTCCCAGTCCAGCCCCAGCTGGAGCGGGGGCGTTTGGGATCCGAGGCACCTTGCCAGCCTGGCCCGGCTGTTAGCCATCCTCGACTTCATACCATGTACCCAGACCTGGCAGTTAGACTGGGCACCCCCCCTCCCGGGTAGAGGGTACCTTCCAGGGTAGCCGTCCCAGGGTGCAGCCCCAAGCTCTGCAGGAAGTGGCGGGCGGCGGGGTGGTGGTGGTGGTGGTGGTGGTGGTGGTTGGAGTTACCCTTGTGTATTGGGAGGAATAACCAATTCGTGTTTGCTAGAGGTCTTGAGATTGGGGGTCCCGATGCTAGGCCTTGGCTTCTTCTCTGCTACAAGTCCACCACATTAGATCTTAACCTTTCCCTTCTCGTCCTTCCCTCCTTATACCCTCTCTCCCCTCGCCCCCACCCCCCCAGCCTAAGTCTCTTCCCTTAAACCCTTGTGCTGTCTTTGTTTCTCCCCCTGTAGCCATCTGTTTGCTTCTTATCCCGTTTCCAGACTCCATCAACCAACCCCCATGTCTCTTTGTGTGAATGGTCATCGCAGCCTCTCCTTACAGCAGTCTCTTTATTGTTCTTTAAAAAAAAAAAAAATCAAGCTGGGGGCCAGTGGTTCTTGCCCATAATCCTAGCTACTCAGGAAGCTGAGATCTGAGAATTGAAGTTCAAAGCCAGCCTCCACAAGAAAGTCTGTGAAACTCCTATTTCCAATGAACCACCAGAAAACTGGAAGTGGCACTGTGGCTCAAGTGGTAGAGCACTAGCCTTGAGCTGAAGAGCTGAGGGACAGCGCCCAGGCCCAGAGTTTAAGCCCCCCCCCCCAAAAAAAAATCAGTCACTTTCTATGTCTCCATCTACCTTACATTCCCTTCTTCCTTAGTCTTAATCTGTCTTTATATTAATCTGTTTCTCCTATTTCACCTTTCCTCAGCCTCTTACTTTCTGATCTGTTTCTGTCTTTCTGTACCGTCATTTCTTTGCCTGTTTGTTTTTGGTGTTGATCCTGGGGCTTGTACTCAGGGACTGGGAACTGTCCCTGAGCTTTTTTTATGCTCAAGGATAGCAATCTACCACTTGAGCCACAGCTTTATATCTGGCTTTTTTAGTTAATTGGAGATAAGAATCTCAAGGACTGGGGCTGGGAAGGTGGCTCAGTGGTAGAGTGCTTGCCTTGCATCCATGAGGCCCTGGGTTCGATTCCTTAGCACCCCATAAACAGAAAAAGCCGGAAGTGGTGCTTGGCTCAAGTGGTAGAGTGCTAGCCTTGAGCTGAAGAGCTGAGGGACAGCACCCAGGCCCAGAGTTCAGGCCCCACAACCAACAAAAGAAAGAAAGAAAGAAAGAAATAAAAAAGAATCTCAAGGACTTTTCTGCCCAGGATGGCTTCAAACCGTAATCCTCAGATCTCAGCCTCCTCAGTCGTTGGGATTACAGGTGTGAGCCATCAGGGTCCCCAGTTGCCCCTCCCCCACCGCTCAAAGTTGAACTGGGTGATATTCTCTTCCAGTTCCTACCCTGCCTTGTCTCTTTACCTTCCAGCTCCCAGCCTCTCTCTGCTGCTGGTCCCACTCCTCCATTTCCCCCTCTCTACTTTGGCATGTGGGGAATGAAACTGGATGGCTCTTTCTAGGGCTTGAGGGTAGAGGGCAGACACTCACCCTCAGGATCCTGCACCTCCCCTCCAGCCCCATCAAACATTCGCTTGAGAAACTCAGTGTTGGGCTAAATCCCCTCATGCTGTGATTAACTTAATGCCCCCTGAGGATTGGAGACCTGTGTGTGTATGGGGGGGCGGGATGATAAGCAGAGGGAGAGAACAGGTGCCTCCAGCTAGTCTGTCCAGCAAGGACTGAGAGGAGGAGCCCACAGGAAATCTTAGATCTGAAGGGGCAGGTTCTGGGCTCCCTGGCAGCTAAGAGGCCAAAGAAAACAGGGGCCAAAGAAACCCCACCTTTGTTCCCTGCTCTGCTCTGGCATTTCCTGCTGCAGCAGCTCCTCCCCCCTGTCTCCTTTAAAGCAAGAGTTCTTTCTCCTATGGCAGCCATAGGCAGGATTTTTCTGCAGGGCCTGGAACTGACTGGACAATGACCCTGATGACCTTAGAGACATCGAGGCCGGACACCTTCACTCTGTACTTGCTTTATGCTGCACCCTTCCACTTTCTTTCCTTAGATTTCGTCTTCATGAATCCATAGTTCTCATACTCCATCTTTGAGGACAGAGCAGGACTCAAGTGCTCACAGGAGGCAGCTCCTGCTTGTAGATTTGAGTTTAGTCCCTCCCAGCTAACGAAGGACTACAGTTCAAGAACTTGTGCTTGCCATTTTATGGGTTCAGAACATAGTCTATAAAACTTATCAATTACAATTGGCCTCCACTGTCTGATTTCATTCCAAGTAACCTTGTGAGGAAACAGATTCAGAAGTTACCAGTTCAGGATCACCCAGTGACCAGAGATGAGATCCAGATAATGGGTTGGATAAGACCAAAGGAAGCCTTATCTGTCAAGGACACGCACAAAGACAGTTGCTTCTGTTTCTTAAGCCCATGACTGGAATACTTCCATTTCTCTTAACTACCAGAATCACTTTGTCTCCAGGTTGTTACAGTGAACTACCGGAGCCACAATATTCAGGAATATCATTTCCCTGCATATTCAAGATCCTACCCTGCCAGCTTCACATCCTTGGGATGTTTTGGGCTAGAAGATAGGTCTTATGGCAGGCAGAATCTCTTGGAAGAGAGCTTCTTCTCTCTTGATTCAGGGCCTCTGGATTTTCTGAGGGAAGCTGAGGGTTGGGCTAGAAATACAGGGAGGCTGGCCTGTCCCTGACACTTGGACTGAATTGACCATCTCAAGTTATGGAAGAAACAGCATTTACTGACAAATGAACATTTATTGAGTGCTTACTATATGGAGAGTATTGTGTTAGCTAAGACTAGTGAGGGAAGGTAAGATAAGAGATACCATCCAAGAACTATAAGGAGCACTATTCCCAAAGGGCTTACAATTTAGCCAGGAGGCATTGTGAGTATATACAATAAGTCACAGCTTAAAGACACATGACAATATCCAAGCAACTTTTGCAAATACAAAACCACCTGACACAAAGGGATATGAACATGGATGCTGCTGGATCTTGGTGATCAGTCACCTCTTCCTCTCAGCTCAGAGCCTTCTGTGGCCCCACCTTGCCCCCATGCTGGTCTGGGTGTGTCTGATCTCCACCTTCTTCCAGACTGGGTGCTCTTCAAGGGCAGAAACCAGCCCCGAGTTCTTTGTCATTTCCTTCCTACCCTGCCACCACCCTTTCCAAGGTTCTGTGACCACTGGACTGGACTGGACAAGCCCAGCTGACTGTCCCTATTTCTACCAGGGACTTCAAGGAGGAGCTGAGAGCCTGCCACAGTGGAAAGATCATGGATTTAACATAAGAAGACCTGAGTTTAGGAGTTGGCTCCACTGTATATAAGCTATGTGATTTTAGGCCATCTCTCAGCCTCACTTTCTGAATCTGTAAGATGGGAAGACTAATATTTGCTCTATGTCACAAGATTGGGAGGTCAGGGCTGGGAAGTTGGCTCAGTGGTAGAGCGCTTGCCTTGCATGCCTGAGGCCCTGGGTTCGATTCCTCAGCACCATATAAGCAAAAAGAAAAAAACCGGATGTGGCGCTGTGACTCAAGTGGTAGAGCGCTAGCCTTGAGCTGAAGAGCTCAAGGACAAGCACTCAGGCCCAGAGTTCAGGCCCCACGACCAGACCCCCCCCCCAAAAAAAAAGATTGGGAGGTCAGTCACAGGAATGCTAAGGGAGTGCTTTGGAAATAGTAAAACTGCCCAACTGGAAGCCATCTCTTTCCTGAATCTGTGAAGTTTTTGGAATAGATAAGCTAGTGCATGTAAGGCAACCAGCTCAGTAGCTGATATCCAGGGTTGCCCAGAAACTATCCACTTGCCTCTACCCCATCTCTGGCCCCAATCTGGGCAATAGAGGCTAGAAGTGATGAGAATCTCACATTCGGTTTGGGAGAAGATGAAATCCAGGAAGTGGCCCAGACACAAGCAGAAATATTGGCACCTTCCAAGAGCCATGTGTTGGGGGTAAAGTGGAATGAGGATGGAGTGCCTTGCTGCTTTTGAATTTCTAGAGCAAAAGCACTCAGCTACCAGAAAAGGATAGCCTCACTGGGGTCGGGGACTCTATCTTTCCCTCAACAGTGAGACCTGTTACCAGCTGTTGGGTTTGGGGAGAATTCTCTCCACAGTACCAACAGCTTTATTCTGCTTCTAAAGAGAGTTTTGATTGAGGACAAAGAAAGGAGCACTCTAACAAAGATATTCTGACCATAGGGCATGGTGGGGGAGTGGCCGATGGAAAGGCTAGAGACCTGGCTCCTGATATCTTGGGAGCTTGGGCTAGTAGAGGACAGACACAGACAGAAGACTTGAAAGCCAGATGACATCAGAAAACATGGAAAACATGGAAAAGAGGGCTTAGTTATACAGCAGGCTGGAGGAGGGAGGGAATGGATGGGTCTGGGTGGTGGGGGAAGAAGGAAATAGAATTTCCAGTTTGTATTTAGGGTCAGAAGTTTAGAACCTAGACCAGGATGGGGCCATCCTCAAAATCTATCTCCTTCTGCCTGGACCTTGAGACAGGGAAATCTCCTTTACTTTGACCACCAACTAAAGGAAGTAGAAAAGGCTACCCTTCCCAAGCCCCGAGGAAGCAGAATTAATGAAAAAATCTTAGTGTTGCATGATAATAGCATTAAGAATGACAGCATCTTTATATGCATGGTTTCAACTCACTTGAGTTAATCTCACTTGAGAATCTTTGTGCTTGGCTGGAAATTTCGGAGCCTGGGTTCTCGACTAGGATCTGCTTCTGCCTGGACAAGCCATTTCCCTTTTCTGGTCCTGACAAGCAGCAGATTGCAAAGTCCTCAATGACTCTGGCGGGTGGGAGCTGACCCGGGCAGAGCCAGGAGGAGGAATGTGCTGGGGAGGAGGGGGGAACAGGTGATGGAGGGGTGTTGCCTGGTGTCCATGACTGCATGCCTGAGTGCCTTGCCCAGCCAGCCATAGGTGTGTGCTTGGGTGAGAGGGCTCACTTGCGAAACTGAGTGTCTCCTTTCAAGAAGTGTCTAGTTGCAAATCTCCCCCTTTTCCCAAGACAAAAGCCGGGGGCCCATAAAGGGTTTTTGTTTTCTCTTCTCAAGCAGAAGGTTAATCTCTGGGTCTGCCACCCCCTTACCCTGCCCCCCTCCCCCAAGGAGGTTCATGAGCACATACATATATGCGCATGTGCCTACATATGCCTACTACTGCCTTTGAAGATCCTCTCTCAAGGCACAAAGGAACTCTGGGCCTGGGCACTGTCCCTCAGCTCTTCAGCTCTACCACTTGAGCCAGAGCACCACTTCCAGCTTTTTCTGCTTATGTGGTGCTGAGGAATGGAACCCAGGGCCTCATGCATGCAAGGCAAGCACTCTACCACCGAGCCACCTTCCCAGCCCGCCCCCCCCCCCAGGGTATTTCTAAGGGAGCTGTCCTCTGGCTGACACCTCTCTGCTTCCAGCAATGGGTCCTGGCAAGTCTTAGGGGCCTGGTGGCGCCAGTTTAGGGGGAAGATTTTCCAGGAGGGACAAGGTAGGGGGAGTGTGGAGAAGGGGTGCCCCTTCTCTTGGGGCTGACTGCCGTGGACTCGTCTGCTGTAGAGAGGTGGATTTATTGCAGGTGTAAGAGGAAGCGAGAGAAATCCCCAGTGGTACACCACCCCAGGTGAACCTGCTCAGTCGCAGACACGGGCAGCCCCTGCACTTGGGGATGAACACACAGGTACATAGGAACAGAACCGGGGTGTACCATGCCCAAATGGGGGGGGGGAAACGCCCGTGTACATTACCCACGTACCCTGGGGCAGGCTCTCCAAAGCTCTCTCCACTTCCCGCCCACCAGCCCTGCCCTCCCCCTGGGTCGCCAGTGTCCTGCAAGGAACCAGGACGTCGTGGATTGCTGGGTCCCCAACCTCAGGACGGGGGGGGGGCGCGAATGGGGGGGATTTCTACCAGGATTGTGGGGGTGAGGGGCACCCTCTTGAGACCCCCATCCTGCCGCTCACAACGCTGGTTCCTGAAGCAGCTACTCTGTACGGGGGGCCAACTTAGGGCCTGGGGAAAGGAGGGTCAAGGTGGGCTTTCCGCTGGGGCGGGGGTCCCACGGGGTTGGTGGTGCGACGGAGGAGCGCTATGGCGCTCAGGCCTTGCTGCCCCGCGGCAGGCTCTGCGGGGAATGGAGCTCCACCGACTGTCTCCGCCGCACCTCACGCTCCTCCCAGTCGGTGTCGGGCTCCAGGCCCTTCAGCACCGCCAGGCGCTCAGACAGGCTCTTAGCCGAGGGGAACAGCACGTAGTTGTAGATGAGGGAGCCCAGGATGGCGCCGACCAGGGGTCCGATCCAAAAGACCTGGGGGTGAGGGAGAGAACGCTGGCTGGCACCTCACACACTAATTCATGCAATTAGGCATCACTTGTTAGTGGGTATGTGGGGGGTGGGGGTAGGCAAATCGATCATCTGGTTGCAAATCCATTCACTGGCTGTGTGAACTTACACAAGTTGCTTACCTTCTCTAGGCCTGGGTTTCCTTTCACTGTAAAAATGCCTACCAATAGCTGGGTGCCAAATGACTCACGCTTGTAATCCTAACTACTCAGGAGGCTGAAATCTGAGGATCAGTTTGAAGCCAGCCCAAGCAGGAAAGTCTGTAAGATTTTTTATCTCCAGATTAACTACCCAAAAGCTGGAAATGGAGCTATGGTTCGTGTGGTAGAGTGCTAACCTTGAGCAAAAAAGCTCAGGGACAGTGCCTGGGTCCTGAGTTCAAGCCCCTGCAGCGCACACACACACACACACACACACACACACACACACACACACACACACACACACACAGGCTATCATAGCCAGGTGGTGGCTCACATCTGTAATCCTCACTATACAGGAGGCTGAGATCTGAGGATCGTGGTTCAAAGCCAGAAAACCGGAAGTGGCACCGTGGCTCAAGTGGTAGAGCGCTAGCCTTGAGCTGAAGAGCTCAAGGACAAGCACTCAGGCCCAGAGTTCAGGCCCCACGACCAGACCCCCCCCCCAAAAAAAAAGATTGGGAGGTCAGTCACAGGAATGCTAAGGGAGTGCTTTGGAAATAGTAAAACTGCCCAACTGGAAGCCATCTCTTTCCTGAATCTGTGAAGTTTTTGGAATAGATAAGCTAGTGCATGTAAGGCAACCAGCTCAGTAGCTGATATCCAGGGTTGCCCAGAAACTATCCACTTGCCTCTACCCCATCTCTGGCCCCAATCTGGGCAATAGAGGCTAGAAGTGATGAGAATCTCACATTCGGTTTGGGAGAAGATGAAATCCAGGAAGTGGCCCAGACACAAGCAGAAATATTGGCACCTTCCAAGAGCCATGTGTTGGGGGTAAAGTGGAATGAGGATGGAGTGCCTTGCTGCTTTTGAATTTCTAGAGCAAAAGCACTCAGCTACCAGAAAAGGATAGCCTCACTGGGGTCGGGGACTCTATCTTTCCCTCAACAGTGAGACCTGTTACCAGCTGTTGGGTTTGGGGAGAATTCTCTCCACAGTACCAACAGCTTTATTCTGCTTCTAAAGAGAGTTTTGATTGAGGACAAAGAAAGGAGCACTCTAACAAAGATATTCTGACCATAGGGCATGGTGGGGGAGTGGCCGATGGAAAGGCTAGAGACCTGGCTCCTGATATCTTGGGAGCTTGGGCTAGTAGAGGACAGACACAGACAGAAGACTTGAAAGCCAGATGACATCAGAAAACATGGAAAACATGGAAAAGAGGGCTTAGTTATACAGCAGGCTGGAGGAGGGAGGGAATGGATGGGTCTGGGTGGTGGGGGAAGAAGGAAATAGAATTTCCAGTTTGTATTTAGGGTCAGAAGTTTAGAACCTAGACCAGGATGGGGCCATCCTCAAAATCTATCTCCTTCTGCCTGGACCTTGAGACAGGGAAATCTCCTTTACTTTGACCACCAACTAAAGGAAGTAGAAAAGGCTACCCTTCCCAAGCCCCGAGGAAGCAGAATTAATGAAAAAATCTTAGTGTTGCATGATAATAGCATTAAGAATGACAGCATCTTTATATGCATGGTTTCAACTCACTTGAGTTAATCTCACTTGAGAATCTTTGTGCTTGGCTGGAAATTTCGGAGCCTGGGTTCTCGACTAGGATCTGCTTCTGCCTGGACAAGCCATTTCCCTTTTCTGGTCCTGACAAGCAGCAGATTGCAAAGTCCTCAATGACTCTGGCGGGTGGGAGCTGACCCGGGCAGAGCCAGGAGGAGGAATGTGCTGGGGAGGAGGGGGGAACAGGTGATGGAGGGGTGTTGCCTGGTGTCCATGACTGCATGCCTGAGTGCCTTGCCCAGCCAGCCATAGGTGTGTGCTTGGGTGAGAGGGCTCACTTGCGAAACTGAGTGTCTCCTTTCAAGAAGTGTCTAGTTGCAAATCTCCCCCTTTTCCCAAGACAAAAGCCGGGGGCCCATAAAGGGTTTTTGTTTTCTCTTCTCAAGCAGAAGGTTAATCTCTGGGTCTGCCACCCCCTTACCCTGCCCCCCTCCCCCAAGGAGGTTCATGAGCACATACATATATGCGCATGTGCCTACATATGCCTACTACTGCCTTTGAAGATCCTCTCTCAAGGCACAAAGGAACTCTGGGCCTGGGCACTGTCCCTCAGCTCTTCAGCTCTACCACTTGAGCCAGAGCACCACTTCCAGCTTTTTCTGCTTATGTGGTGCTGAGGAATGGAACCCAGGGCCTCA